CAACATGCAGAATTGTGCCATAAAAGCACATTTATATTTTATAAATAATTTTATGGCACATCTTTGTAGTAAAAGGGGGATAACTCTAACATTACACTTCACAGAAATGTAGATTGGCTAACTTGGTATGAATTGACGCATTGCGCGCACCTCCGGATATACGTCATAAAAACCTTCCCAAGCAAGGGCTCCATGCAGAATCCACATGTACTTTTGACTTGATTTTACAAAAACCCAACCCACCCTTCCCCATTTTGGTATTTATTTTAATACAGATAGCCTTTTAGCCAATGTCAAAGGTTTATGGATAGGTTTTTTCCCCCATCTTTGATGGTTGTAGCATTTTTTCACATTATCTAATCATTTTTTAAAGTGTTTAAATTTGAAGTTGATGTGTATATGGTTGCTTTTAATTCTAATCTGTCACATATGTTATATTTGTGATCATACATTTTATCATACCCGATTAGGATTATGGAAAAGTGTGATTATGATTTTGACACTTCTTGGAACTGATCTGTTATTACTGATTAGCTAGATTGACTGATTGTGATTGATTATATCAATTGATTGTGAATTTTGATTTTGAATTGTATGATTATGAATTATGGATCTGACTAATTATGATTGATTAGATTGATTGTGAGTTTTGTCTTCGTCATTTTAATAAATGACAATTTTCAATTCAATACATTCTCTATTGTTTATTCTATCAACCATCAAACAAAGCACAACATGCAGAATTGTGCCATAAACATGTATTTAGTTATACATATGCATATGTCTGAATGTAAGCAGGGACATCTAATTCATTCCTCCATTAGAATCATTACCCTGAATACATACAAGAGGACCAGAAACTCACCAGAGTAACTCCCCTACATTTTTCCATGTAAAATTAGGATAATATATTGTCGTCTACCCCTACCCCAGCTGACCTGAACAAACTTGAATCTGAGGATGCTTCCATAAAAATATGGTTAATCATATGGCTTATTATTCTAAAGAAAAAAGATTTTTACGAGTTTTTCCTGTATATTCTTATAGAAAAAGTTGATTGGACAGTGTGGTTCTAATCCCATTCCCAGGGGTCATAACTTAAACAAGCCAAAATCTGCACTCTCTACGAAGCTTCAATATTTATAGGTTGCCCATAGTAATCCCAAGCTATCCCTGGGGGGGATCATTTTGAATTTACCACTACCTGAGGATGCTTCCATATACTCAGTAAATATGTCTAGACATGACTTTGCTGTTCCTTGGCAGATTCAGGAATTTAATAATGGAAGGGGGGAGGTAGAAGGTGGGGTGGGGGTCTGGAGGCTGCATCTAAGCCCCCAGTAGGTCCAAGGCAAAGCCCTGGTGGGGTCCAGGGCAAATTCTTACAAATAAGAGATGTTTTTCCCTTGATTTTAGGATAATGGACATAATTAAAGTTCTACATGCAAAAAATTCAAATGGGGAGGGGGGGTGGCTGTGCCCAGCCACGGATCCACCTTTGCCCTATAAGAAGATTTTACCTAAATATTCCTATTTAAAATTTGATTGCCCATCATGGCCCCATCCACTCACTCTAAGGGGTCATGATTTGAACAAATCTGAATATACAACACCTAAGCCTGCTTCCATATAAATATGACTTATCATGACTTCGTTGTTTTCAGAGAGGAATTTTAAAATTTTTCCATTGTATTTCTATGTAAAATATGATCACCCATAATATTCCATCCTACCTCCAGCATCAAGATTTGAATGAACTAATATCTAAACTACTTAAGGATGCTTCCACATAAATATGACTAATCGTGACTTTGCTGGTCTTGAGAAGACAATTTTTAAACCAATCAAATTTTCAATACTTCTTAATTATCTCCCCTTGGAAGAGAGTGTGGTCCTTCATTTGATTCCAAAATGAATCCCCTTTACCAAAGGATACTCTATGCAAAGTTTGGTTGAAATTGAGCCAATGGTTCTGGTGAAGAAGATGAAAATGTGAGAATTTTACATCAATGATAACAACTACAACAGACAAATTTCAAACAGAAAGCTCATTTGAGCCTTCAGTTAAGGTGAGCTAAACTGTCTCACTTCATAGAAATCTGTGGAGAAGCTTCCATTCACCCAGACAGGTGATATCTGGTGGGGAATCCTCAGGGTTGTTGACCTGTTGGTGACCTTGACCTGAGCTCTATCCACAGTCAATGTTATAAGCTCCCTTCTACTGTGTCCTAGAGGGTTGTAGATTACTATGTCTCTGTAAAAAAGAAAAATCTTTATAAACTTCTGCTGTGGACAATTTGTTTTTCTACAGTTATCATCTTGTCACCTATTTCTTTACTTTTAATCTTTCCTCTCTGATCACTGACGCTTGTGTGTTGTTTAGTAGCTTTGATCATCAGACAGTCCACATCACAGGGCACAGAATAATTATACCCGCACTTTCTAAAGAAAGTTCGGGTATATTGTTGTTACTCATGTCCGTCCGTCCGTCCGTCTGTCACACTTTTCTTCCCTGAACTCCTCTTACATTTTACACAGTAGCCTAATCAACTTTTGGGAGATGGTTGGTGGTGTCATGTAGATGTGCAGTAAGGTTTCGGAATTTTGATTTTGCCCTGGGGGGTCAAATGGGGGTCGAAAAATGACGTTTTTTATGCAAAAAGCCCCGTCTTCCCTGAACTCCTCTTACATTTTACACAGTAGCCTAATCATCTTTTGGGAGATGGTTTGTGGTGTCATGTAGATGTGCAGTAAGGTTTCGGAATTTTGATTTTGCCCCGGGGGGGTCAAATGGGGGTCGAAAAATGACGTTTTTTATGCAAAAAGCCCCGTCTTCCCTGAACTCCTCTTACATTTTACACAGTAGCCTAATCATCTTTTGGGAGATGGTTGGTGGTGTCATGTAGATGTGCAGTAAGGTTTCGGAATTTTGATTTTGGCCCGGGGGGGTCAAATGGGGGTCGAAAAATGACGTTTTTTATGCAAAAAGCCCCGTCTTCCCTGAACTCCTCTTACATTTTACACAGTAGGCTAAACAACTTCTGGGAGATGGTTGGTGGTGTCATGAAGATGTGCAGTAAAGTTTCGGAATTTTGATTTTGCCCCGGGGGGGTCAAATGGGGGTCGAAAAATGACGTTTTTTATGCAAAAAGCCCCGTCTTCCCTGAACTCCTCTTACATTTTACACAGTAGCCTAATCATCTTTTGGGAGATGGTTGGTGGTGTCATGTAGATGTGCAGTAAGGTTTCGGAATCTAGATTTTGCCCCAGGGGTCAAATGGGGGTCGAAAAATGATGTTTTTTATGCAAAAAGCCCCATCTTCCCTGAACTCCTCTTACATTTTTTTACACAGTAGCCTAATCATCTTTTGGGAGATGGTTAGTGGTGTCATGTAGATGTGCAGTAAGGTTTCGGAATTTTGATTTTGCCCCGGGGGGTCAAATGGGGGTCGAAAAATGACGTTTTTTATGCAAAAAGCCCCGTCTTCCCTGAACTCCTCTTACATTTTACACAGTAGCCTAATCATCTTTTGGGAGATAGTTGGTGGTGTCATGTAGATGTGCAGTAAGGTTTCGGAATTTTGATTTTGCCCCGGGGGGTCAAATGGGGGTCGAAAAATGACGTTTTTTAATGCAAAAAGCCCCGTCTTCCCTGAACTCCTCTTACATTTTACACAGTAGCCTAATCATCTTTTGGGAGATGGTTGGTGGTGTCATGTAGATGTGCAGTAAGGTTTCGGAATTTTGATTTTGCCCCGGGGGGTCAAATGGGGGTCGAAAAATGACGTTTTTTATGCAAAAAGCCCCGTCTTCCCTGAACTCCTCTTACATTTTACACAGTAGCCTAATCAACTTTTGGGAGATAGTTGGTGGTGTCATGTAGATGTGCAGTAAGGTTTCGGAATTTCGATTTTGCCCCGGGGGGTCAAATGGGGGTCGAAAAATGACGTTTTTTTATGCAAAAAGCCCCGTCTTCCCTGAACTCCTCTTACATTTTACACAGTAGCCTAATCATCTTTTGGGAGATGGTTGGTGGTGTCATGTAGATGTGCAATAAGGTTTCAGAATCTAGATTTTGCCCGGGGGGGTCAAATGGGGGTCGAAAAATGACGTTTTTTATGCAAAAAGCCCCATCTTCCCTGAACTCCTCTTACATTTTACACAGTAGCTAATCATCTTTTGGGAGATGGTTGGTAGTGTCATGTAGATGTTCAGCAGGGTTTCGGAATTTTGATTTTGCCCCGGGGGGACTAATGGGGGTCGAAAAATGATGTTTTAAAAATGTATTAAATCATTTCTTTAAAACTAAGCGAAATACAAATTAAAAAGGAGGTCAAGGTCACAGGAATGTGCAAGGTGAAGTTTTTGATGCATTTGAGTAGTTTCACTAATACATATCAGTATATTATGTTTGATAAAAATATCTTGAATGATTTAATGAAACTGAGCTTAACACTTTTTCTTAAAAAAAGAGAGGTCAAAAGAAAGGTTGGGGCCAAAATGTTGTTGCAGTTGAAAAGCTTACATCAGTATGAATTTACTATTAGCATATGAAGTTTGATAAAACTATAATTAATGGTTTATTTAAAACTTAGATAAACACATATTTTAAAAAGTGAGGTCAAGGTCAAAGGAAAATTCAAGGTCAAAATAAGTTGATGTATTAATATCTCTCAGCAGTATGTATCAGCATATGGAGTTTGATAAATATATCTTGAATTGTTTATTCAAAACTGATCTAGACATTAATTTTAGAAAAGTGAGGTCAAGGTCACAGGAAAGGTCAAGGTAAAAAAGAGTGAAGCATTGTAAAGCTTACATCAGTATGCATCATCATGTGAAGTTTCATTACACAACTTGAAGGGTTTCTTTAAAATAAAGCTAAACACTAATTTAAAGAAAAGTTAAGTGAAGGTCAAAGGAAAGGTCAAAGTCAAAAAATATTGCTGCAGTTGGATATTTACATCAGTATGCATCAACATATGAACTTTGATAAAAATATCTAGAAAGTTTCTTTGAGCCCAATGGAAAGACAGATGGAAGGGTGGAGGACGGACATGACAAAACTATACATGTATTCCTAATCATGGTGTGGTATAAAAAACTTGAATCTACATTATATGAGGATGTTTCCATCTATCAAGATTATACAAGCAAATTCAAAGAATTGTGGTCCTCTGCTTTCTGTGTTTTAGTGAATGTGATGCTATAATTTATGGCAGATTGTGTGTCAAATATGCACCCCTATCATATATCAATTTTTGAAAATTGGGTCAAAGGGGAAAAATCATAGCATGCTCTGAAACATTTTGTTGCAGGTAATGTACATGTCAAATATGAAAGTCCTATCTCTTTTGAATCAAAAGTTATATATACAATATAATATTTTTGAAAAGTAGGTTAAACTTCTAGGTCAAGGTCACAGAGTCAAAAGTCATGATATATTTAGAAAAGTCTTTTCACATGTAATAAACATGTATAATTTGAATGCCCTTTCTTTTCTCTTTCAAAATGATCAATTAAAAATGTTATTTTTTGGAAAGTAGGTAAAACTTTAAGGTCAAGGTCTCACTTGGGTTAAAAAATCATAGTATATTTAGAAAGTTTTGTGGTAATGTACATGTGAAATATGAAAGCACTATCTCTTATTATTCAAAAGTTATGACCAAGGTTAAATTTATTGTGACAGATGCACATACTAGCTGTCAATAAGATGGACAGACTGACAGACAAATGAGATTTAATGTCCCCTCCCTTTCCCCAAAATGGGGGACAATAATGCCCTTGCTGTTCTTGAGAAGAAGATTTATGATGGAAAAAATCCCCTGCATATTTCTTAACGCAAATCAATATAGTGTTTTTATGTCATTTTGTTTGTTGTTAAACATCCCTCTCAGGAATTTTTCATTCATATGGAGACACCACCACTTGAAAAATAATGAGGACAAATTAGATTTGAGGTCAACATTCATTTTAGGAGTTTTCAACCATTAAGGCGTAAAGAAATATAGTAACTCGATCCTTCCCCTCACCCCTTCCCAGACCCCTGTTTGTTCATGTATGCAAACTACTACTTGTTTTTACATTTAAAAATCAAAGTACTCAGAAGTACAGAGAGCCGGGTTAATTTACAGAGTAGAATGGATTTCTTACATGAATCACATTTATATTCTGATGAAAAAATTACTTTAAAACTATCAATATAAATGATAAGACACTGACAGTGAGTTTTTCAATCCTAATACCACGGTCCGATTTTGTCAGAATAGAATTAATCTGGTACCGCAGCTGAATGTAAACAAACAGGCGAGTCTGGTTCCCTCTCCTGCTTTACCTCGTATGTGTAGAGAACTACGGTAACATTGATTATCAAAAATCCTTACGCTAATGAACTATGTTCTTTGACTTATGACGTTTTCAAAGTCATTACTACTAATGTTTATTTTATATAGATAAAACTTCGTTTTATTTTTGTTGCTTTATTTAGCGTTTGTATTATCTCAAAAGCGGTTGAGAGTAAGAACTATATTTTTGCACGTAACTTTAAAATGGCGACTATGGGGTCAACATCCTGCCTTGAACAGGATCACATAAGCCGGCAATTGCTCTTTGAGCAATAAGCCCGGCTAAAAAATGTTTATACAAATAGTTTAATGTGGTCCATCTCTGAATGATTTTCATTCCTAATTCTAGGAAGATAGGTTGACACAAAGTCATGAATAAAATGTCAAGTAATCTTATCATTGATGCACTTTTATTTAATTTAATGCAGTCATATTGTGAACATTTCCAGCTCATTAGGAGAGTGGGGATGACCTCTACGGGCTCATAACATTTATACCATTAAATTTACATAACATAATAACACAAGTAACAAAATTATGTATAGTCAAAAGGAAAAAGTTTCGTACTATTTAAGAGTCACATGATCATTTGTCATTACAGGGACAGGGAAGTGGATTGGTAGATCGCCCCCTCAACCCCTCCCCCCCCCCCCCCTGGAATTTGCAGGACTATAATATATACTGGAGGAAATAAAAATGACTTTGAATGCCCTAAGTGTCCCTCCACCCTAGAAAACAGACCCAACCATAACTTCTTTTTTTTTTTTGCTTCTCAGGAAATTCTGGTCTGGCCCTCCCCCCCAGAAAAAAAATTCTGGATCTTGTAACTGAATGTAACGTTGATAACGGGGGATAACTCTTCAGAATGTGAAATTCTTCTATTGTAGCATCGGATGACCTTTGATCCTTTAAACTTGAACCTAACCGTTTGCATTTCAGACTATTTTACCCAAATCTATACCAAAACTTGTACTTACCGATTGTCATTAATTAGGCCTTGTCATCTTCATGAAATATAATCTAGTTAAAACACAAAATGGAATAATTCCTACTGACATATAGGCCTATGCAATGATGCACACTAGTAGCCTACTGCACGTGCAGTGAAATCTAAAATGATAATGCCAATGGTAAAACTAGTACTTAAGTTGGGAACGTGACGCAAGCCCAATGTGATGCAGGTGTTCAGATACATGTATAGTGCAAGAACAAATTGAAAATTATCATTTACAAAAGATGTTTTATTTTAACTTTGCCATCTAGGCCTATTTCCAAAAACAGGCAAATAAGGTGTGTTTGTGTGTGTGTGTTGATGGGAGAGGGGTGGGGGTTGACTAAATTGATTGTGTATATGGCAGCTTTCAAGAAGTTTTTGTCTAATCAAATATAGATAAACTTTGCACATTTTGAAAAATTCATCAAAAACGCTTTACACTGATTTGAATAATATTATTTTTTGTTAATCTATATTAGAAAATGGATTTAAAAAGTTCCAATTACCGTACAAGTAAAATTTTTAGCGAGGATTTAATTTTGGCATTATTAGCGAGGATGCTGACATCGCTAAAATTGAATACCACTGAAAATTAATTGCTTATTATTTGTAAAAGCTTCTTGAATTAGCATTTTAAAATCGCTAAAATTACTTCTCGCTAAAAATAAAATACCAGATTTTAGGTAGAAATCGCTAAATTTGCGTTTCGCTAAAATTTCCACTTATACAGTATGTGCCAAAAATTTATGCCCCCCCCCCTTTATCAAACCTAATTTACATCATTAATTTAATTCTGTTGTTTAATTTCCGACTGGTAATCAATTATGAATATGAAATACCAATAAGATGGAGTCCCATGGGTCACATGGTCACTAGCTGCAGATCTGTAGCGTTATGGTTTTATATACATGTATTAGTCTTTGACCATAAAGCTACAGATCCCTTTAATGCAAAAAAGGTGCAATTTACGGCGCAATATGTTTTGCGCACTTCTGGGAAGAATTTCTCCACTTTCCAGCATCGGTTAATTTACTACCTTTCACTCCCTAATTCTAGGCACATTGTTTAACTAATCTGTATATTTTATCCATCTCCAATCCTTTTATAGTCGTCTCTACTCGTGATAAACTCGCTTGATTAAAATTATTTGTTAGATTGCTGAAAATTCACATCAAGCCAGTTTTTTGCCTGTAGAGATGACTATAAATCATTAAATGGTTGGGAGGTGGACAAAATATACATATTGGTTACAGAATGTGTCTAAAATTAGGGAGTGAAAGGTAGTTGATTGACCAATGCTAGAAAGTGGAGAAAAACTGCCCAAAAGTGCGCAAAAAATATTGCGCCGTAAATTGCACCTTTTTTGCATATGGGGATCTGTAGCGTTATGGTCAAAGTCAAATATATAAAACCATAACGCTGCAGATCTGCAGCTACATGGTCACCTGAGCATATTATGCTCAATTTGATGAATACATGTATTATGTAAATTATTGAATTATATTGACTTTTCTCTTGGTAAAGCCCAATATGAAGAAGTGTGCATTTAGAGGCAAACACCTTAGTGTGGGTATTACTGTCTCATGACAGCATCTAGTAATTTTTATTGTCTGGAGATTGGGGAGGGAGAGGGAGGGGATAATTTTATCCTGTGTGATTGGGGACAAAATTGAATTAATTTATAATATCAGGTACTGTAAAATGTTATCTAAACTTCACTGGTAAATTGGTCCTAAGCATATTCTGTAGTCTGATTCATACATCGTCTTTCAATAGCTTATGAGATTTACTGCTTGATTGAAAAAAATAAATATTGTACAAGAAACAGTGTTAGGAATTTTTATTACCTTTTTTCTGACAACCAGATGATTTTTGGCTGTGATTTTCTTGTCATAACGGAGTCCCAATCATCAATCTATAATAGAAATTAAATATAAAAATATCAAATAACATTCAAGATTCATTATTTGTTGTCCATGCAGGAAAAAATTCTTCAAACAATAAATTTGAACATTCAAAGTTTTGGGGTTTTTTTGCTTTTTTTCTTTTGACATTTTTTTTCCCATAATTTTTCAGTGATCTACATATTATTAGATCATAAAAATAGTACTTTGTTATAATTTGTTATATGTTTAAATTAACATACATAAACACCATGTGCATAAAAGCCATTCCCCAAGGAGGACCCATGAAAGCTAAAATAGGCTTATTTCCAACAGGGTCCTCATAAATACTGTGGAATCATTTTAATTTGTGGGGGTCAATGTTCGTGGGAAAGCAAACTTTTTTGGGGTTTTGGGGGACTTATATGATTTTGTAGGTAACTTGTGTATTAAGAAGATTCAATGAATAAATACATTGACAAAAAAAAATATCTTCGTGGAGATTGTTGAAAATTCATGGATAAGGGTGACCAACGAAATCCATGAACATTGGTCCCCCAAAATTCACGGATAAGAGTGACCAAAAAAATCCTCAAAAATTGATCCCCCAAATTAATAAATAAATAAGACATTTACTTTAAAAACTAATACATGTAGTAAAAATACTGATTGTCATATACATGTATTGCTCTCATTTTGAATAATTGGTGTTTCGTTTTTTTTACTTTTTTTTATTAACATATGGATTTGTTTTTAATAGATTTTATCTAATATGTGAAGTAAGTTCCATTCCTTATTTCTTTTTTCTTACAAGAAATTCTTGTTTACATTCATATTAATATTACTGTAAATGTATTATATTTAGAGTACAACAATTATGTCAGAAATTGATTTTTGAATAAATTAGCATAGATTTGATTTAGCACATTTCTTGATGTTCTTATTCATGTTTCATTGTTTAAGATATTTAGCGATGTACTTGAATTAGCGGAAGTATCTTTCAGTCAAAAGCGCGAAAAAGAATACACTGCCAAATGTAATACGTTTACAGTATTCTCTGTTGAGAATTTGATGGCTTAATAATACTCCCCCAAACAAGCCATCGACTTCTCAATAGAGAATAGCATAATTATTATGTATATGATTATTTGGGGTGTAATTTAACTTTCTCTTTAAACTAGTGTAGACTAAGCGTGCTAGGATATTAATCTGTGAACATACACTAATCATTATGTTTCTTGTATTAGTAGTAGTTTATAAACACATATTTTTTTTTAATTAAAGCTTAATGTGTGGTTAATATATTTCACACAAAATACCCAAGTCACCAAACCAAATAAAGATTTTAGAGGATTATAAGATCAACCATTTAGAAAAACCACAGGTTAAAAATTTAAAACCTAAGTTGCATTTGTTATATATATGATAATAAATAAAAATGCAATCTTTAATTTCGATGGGGATCTTGAAATATTGAAGAAAAAACAAAAATCATGCAAGCTAGTGCCCATCTGTAATGCAGGTATCAAATTACATGTACCTTAATTCATACCATTATCTAGGTGTGGTCATCTATATCTAGCTTAGTATTTGATTTGTGAAGTAAAGCATGCATTTAATAGAACAAGAGCAAAATGTAGCTTTTAATTGAGATTGTGAATAATTCCCCAATAGTGTTCTTCTTTCTTATTAAAGATTTTTTAACTGATATCTTCAGAAAAAAAAGAAAAGAAAAAGCCCCCCCCCCTTCCTCAAAAAGGAGGACACATATAGGAATCTTGGAATATGACCAACTCAGTCCTCCATGGACTGACATGCCTTGGCTTTGATCATATGATAAGAATTTTTACAAGTCAATGAGAATTCAAAAATGTCAATGTTGTAATGTACTTTCAATATATCACCAACTTACCCTACCCTTGGGCTTGAATTCTGGACAAATTAAAAGGGGACATTTTTTTTTTTTACAATTTTGGTTGAGGTTTAGGTCTTTATTAAAATCAAACAAACAAATAGCTAGCTTAATATCCAATATTTCATCAATTTAGCCACAACATTCTGAGACCTGAAGCATGGACAGAGGACTCACAAATTTCACAGATTTGGTGATAGCAACTGCTCAAAATACACAAGAACGAAATATACAAAATGCAAAGATGTCCATAAAAGATTAAAAAAAAGATTACAAGTGAATTTTTTCAATAGGGCTTAATGGACCAAGAAATTATGAAATCTCTTGTATCCCTTCATCCATATACATGTATGTTCCAAACCAAAATTATAGTTCAATTGCAGACATCCTACAAATGTTCAACAGTTTTTAAATGTCAACAGATATATAGTTACACAGAATAGCAAAAGTCACCAATGAGTCATCAGGTCACCTTAAAACAAATCAGTCCTCTGAAAACAGTTAATAATTGTTAATAGTGATATATCCCACTCGTATTAGTGAAGAAATTCCTCTCAAATAAGCCAACATTTAAAAAAATGAATGACTGAATTGTTTGTGAAACACTTAATGCCTCCCCCACCTTGGACAGATACCCAAAATAAACTTGACCTATATATTCTTATGATAAATCTGTATACCAAATTTCATTTCAGAATGTGCAACCTGTGAAGAAAATGAATGGAAACTGCAATTAACTTACTTTTTTCTGAGTCTATGGGGCATAACTCTGTCAAAAATTGCTCGATGGTACACAATTGAATTCTGCCAATGTCAGACTGTTATGTTTACATAGTGCCAAGACAGAAGTTGACCTAAATATTTCTTATGATAGATCTGTATACCAAATTTCATTTCAGTGTGTGCAAACTCTGCAAAGAAAATGAACGAAAACTGCAAGTGATTGGAATTTTTCTAAGTCCAAGGGGCATAACTCTGTCAAAATTGTTCAATCATAACCAAACAGAACTTGAAATGGATATTTTTATGATAAAGCTGTATCCTCAAGAAACTGGGGAGATAAGCTCCGCAATATGCCTATATAATGTCCGATAAGAAATCAATAAATTCATTTTCCACAACAGTTTTTGTTAAATTTATGCATTACTTATAACCATTTGCATACAAAATTGACAATTCTTGAATATTGTAACAGCAAAATTGATTCTGATTAACATGACAAAATAACAACATGCTCAATTTTCAAAAAAATGACACAAATTGGATGCTATAACTACATTTTTTAAATAGAGTGGTTCATTGTACCATTTTCAAAGAACAAATAATGAAAGGCAATGGAAAGATGGTTCTTTTTAGCCGAAGGCTCAAGTGAGTTTTTCTGATCACATTTTGTCCGTCGTCCGTCTAGCTGTCCATCTGTCTAGCTGTCTGTCTCTCTGTCCGTCTGTAAACTTTTCACATTTTCTACTTCTTCTCAAGAACCACTGGGCCAATTTTGACTAAACTTTATACAAAGCTTCCTTGGGTGAAGGGGAATTTAAATTGTTAAAATGAAGGGCCAAGTCCCCTCACAAGGGGAGATAATCAAGAAAAGACAAAAATAAGGTGGGGTCATTAAAAAATCTTCTTCTCAAGAACCACAGGGCCAGAAAAGCTGAAACTTATGTGGAAGCATCCTGGGGTAGTGTAGATTCTAAATTGTTTTAATCATGACCCCCGGGGGTAGAGCGGGGCCACAATGGAGAATCAAATTATATAGGAAAAACCTTTGAAAATCTTTTCCTCAAGAACCAATGGGCCAAAAAAGCTGAAACTTATGTGGAAGCATCCTGGGGAAGTGTAGATTTCAAATTGTCTAAATTATGATCAGTGGGGTAGGGTGGGGTCACAATATGTATTACAAGGGGGAAATCTGGTAAAGAACAGAATGGTCAAAGCTTCTCAGGTGAGCGATGTGGCCCATGGGCCTCTTCTTACACTTGCAAATATTTGGTACAAAGACCCACTTTCCATAAAAAAATTATGTTTACTTCCTTAAATTTTCACTGTGGTCTAAAAAAATTTAACTCCAAATATGCATGCTAAATATGGAGAACTGTATGCTAATTAAATGGCCATGTAATATACATATATACATGACTGCATGGTGTAGTGGTTAGCAAGGATCTTTTTAAATGGAACATTTATTGATGAATGTGTTCAAATAAACATTTTTCACTGAAAATAAAATATATGTATCATACATATATTTTATTTTCTGACAGTGAAAAATGTGTATTCATACAATGTATGATTGAAATAATGAACCCATTTACAGTAAATTGTTTAAATTAAAAATTATAATAAATATTGGATTATGTGTATCCCCTTTTTAATTTATTTTTACTAAAAGTTCTTCTAAACCAAAAGATCTGTAACCACTATCATTATTTACAATGTAAACATTTTAATAATATCTCCACAATACATGTTAATACTTGGTATGCAGATTACAGAATAGAAGTCCCTATACCCATGTTGGACATTCTGTGGGAGAAAATGAAACTCAAGTGTTTAGCTTGTTTATAATCTAGATATCATTTTGACCACTAATGTAAACAATTTAATGCCTGGGTAAATTTGAACAATTGGGATATTTCCAATAAATGTATGTGCATAGCTGCAAAATGGGCATGGGCACTTGACCGACCGACCAACAGACAGCAGCAAAGCAATATGACGCTCCCTTCTTTGAAGGGGAGCATAAAAATTATATACAGTATTTTATGCAATTTATCTCTGCAGTACAAGGAACATTAGAAGTTTGCCCCCTTTATGGAGGAATAACACATCATCCTAATTTTTCATGTAAAAGTATATCTCAAATGGGCTAAAGATGTCATTTTTTTTAATTACAATGCAGTTGTTCCTTGGGACTCTCAATAGTTTGCAACTAACCATGAGCAAGACCTTTTTCAATGATATTATACTGTTAAATACTTGATCATGTGATCATGTTTTGGCCAATCAGAGAGCTTGGAATAATAGAAAAAAATAATACATGTACCGTATATATATAAATCGGTGTATGTATATATATATATATATATATATATATATATATATATATATATATATATATATATATATATATATATATATATATATAGAAGGGAGTCATATATGCCCTTTTTCAGATGTCATCCCTTTCCTTATAAGACATACAGAGCATCAAGCCTGTCTCCTAAAAATTACAATTGTTATTCTTGGAAAATTATTAAACCAGTTGTCAAGGCATATAATTATACTAAATATGATTTAGCTCGTGGTATGAAGCCTGACATAAAATATGACTAGGCACTGAAGAGACAAATTGCAACTAAAAATGAAATAGAAGAAGAAAAGTGTTGAGTATATATAAGTGTTGCACTTCAGACCAGTGACCCAGAGATGTATACCATTGACACATTGAAATTTTGTGTCAGCTCAAAACTGCTATCCAGGTAAAATATTGTAACTTTCTCAAATAATGTTTTCAATATGTTGAATGCTTGCTGCAACCTGTTATAAAATAAATTATTGATTTCATTTCAATGTGCTCAACAAACATTGTTTTCTAAAAAAAATTTTGGAAGCTGAAATATACTTAACAGTGAATTTTAAAACACTAGTGATTTAATTATGTTTCATCTGAGTATGACATTCTGTGCATCTTTTATTTCTGAAGATTTTGCTTGATTAATCAAAGTTAAACCTTTATAAATATTACAACAATATTAACATGTACAATGTATAATAAATTAGTAAAGTCATCATGCAATCTTTGTTGTCTTAAATGGTTTAACCACATGCAATCTTTAACTGTAACAAAACACACATATACAACAGCAATAATGAAGAAGAATCAATCAAGCATATGTTTCTATGATTTGGCTGGCATTGACAGATTGGATTAAAAAGTCTGGTATAAGAATTGCAATTGATGTCAAAGCTGTTATTTTTGGTAATCTGGAAAAAGATCACATGGCAAAAAAATTTATTATCCTATTAGTGAAGAAATATTTATTTCAACAGTCAAGAAAAAATAATAATATTGTTTTCAATGGTATTTTAAAATATTTAAATAATTAATATACTACAGAAGAAAAGTTGTCAGGAAATACATTTTATACAAATAGATGGTCCAAGTGGAAATATCTTTTTAATGTGTCTAACAGTAACTCTAATACTATTACTGACTGAACATGTATTGTATATTGCATAAGTTTGTATGTATGTAATTATTTAAATATATATTCTTGTGTATGTATTTCTCCAATGAGAGTGGGAGAGAGAGGTGTGTATACATACACAAGAATATGTTCTGCAATTACATAAATAAACTTTAAAAAAAATGAAACAGAAGTTATATCTTAAAGAACTTAAAGGGGCTTGAACACGGATAAGAGATTAATATTTTCAAGTATTTTTTTCAGTAAATTATTATGACTTGTACAATGCTTGATTTGCTGTATTTGACAACTGAATGAACATTCTGAATTATTGATACCAGGTGTGCATCAACAAAAATCACTCTTCAAAAGGCTAAATTAAGCAGCCAATCAAGTGATGAGCATGAAAAATATTTGTATAATTTATGTCAAACTTACATGCAAGATGTTTTTTTTTGTCTACTTCTTTGCAGTTGATATTTGAGTTTTATTAATGTTTACAGTCACATATGTTTACAGTCACACATGTTTACAGTCAAAGATGTTTACAGTCAAAGATGTTTACAGTCAGACATGTTCACACTAAAAGATGTTTACTGTCACAGATGTTTACAATCACACGTTAATTGTGATGTTGTACAGGATTTCCTTGTCATTGAATTTTTAGAGTTTTCATGAAAATTTAATTCATTAAACTAGTTATTCTTTGAACAAAAAAATTTGATATAATACAATTGTAAGCAAAACAGCAATGCAGCTGTGTCCAAACCCCTTTAAAGGTATGCAGTCTGATGCATCATTAAACAATTATTACCCCTAATTTTGTTGGGGGGGGGGGGGGATATCATCGACATGACTCATAAATCATTATAACAAGTACATTGTGTATAAATAAAGGCCCTATTCACATTGCATATTTGAAAAGGTGGATTTAATTAAATATTAAAAATGTTTTTTACATAAATTATATATAAAATACAAATAAAATAAATTTTCACAATTGTTTGTTTTGTACATCACTCACCTGTTTTTATAATTTCTGGTCACATATAACCGTGAAGTTCCTGTTATAGCATCATGATGTTGAAATAAAGCTAACTCTTGTCTCCCACTACTTAGATCTGGCTGCAGTTTCAGCAAAGTTTTATACTGCTCTGAGGCCTTCCTAGTCTTTGCCAGTGAGACAGCATACAAGATTTCCACCGATCTGTTAAATTAAGACTTCTATAGATCTGTTCAATTTCTCTCAGCTTAAACTTGAATTATTATTGAATTTAAAAATGCACTGTCATGTGATTGCTAATTGAACAAATCCATCATGTACCATCTAACATCATCTAGATTCAAATGTAGTGTGCTAGTCAATTGTCAGTGTGAAATACATGTATATTGAAATCCATCTGATCTTCCCCTGTTTTTACAATGATGATATGATGAAAAGTTTATATAAATGTGAAATGTGTAAAGCATAAGACGAGATAATACCTGAGCAGGCTTTGAATTCTTCGAGCAGCATATTTCAGTAAAGGTCGTGTCGTGTAAAAGCCTGTCCAATATTGATCTCTTCTGTCAGAATAGGGGAAAAAATCCCCCATAAAGGATGGTGGGGGACTTGTTTGAGACTTTCCAAGCTCCTCAAAAAAATCAGACAAGGTGCCAAATCTAACCTAAGATAAAAACATTACTTTGTTTCATATGTTGTAGGAATACTGATAAACTTTTCAACAAAGACCAGTACAGATTAGTAAAGAACCCATTTTGTTTATCAATAAAGACACAATGCTCCAGTGTTAAGACTTATTTTGCATGCAGAATAAAATAAGCATAGAGGAGTTCTTCATAAAATTTCCAAGTGAAATTTATAATTTTCACCCATTTTTATTTTCCAGATGAACTAACAATTTAATTGCATACATGGATTATACATAAAAAAGAACTGAGATGACAAATTTTCTTTAAAAACATTTTGTCTGCTATGACACAGTAATATACTGTGACAAGAACTTCATGACTACAAGAGAATAACCTCAGTGTTCATTTCAGGATTGCTGTTTATGTAAGCTATTAACTTCTGGAGGTTCCCAAACTGTTGTTCCCATTCTTTCAGGTTGCTGTATCGAAAGTCATCTCCATGTGGCACCAAGAGAACATTCTCACGGAATAATTCGGCCTTCTTCTGGAACTGTTCCCATAGTAACCATGCCCTTACATAAAAAAATACATATCATATTCATGTGCACATAAAAGAAAAAAATTACAATTCAATACCATTGGTTTATTTTAACTTAAGTAGGTCAGTTCATGTGTATTTTTCTTCTCTGTCAATTTCTTAACCTTTTTTATGTGCCCGGATCGATAGATCAGGGGCGCATATTGTTTTTGTTCTGTCTGTCTATTTGTATGTTTGTCTGTTTATCTGTGTGTCTTTCTGTCTGTTATTAACCTTAACCTTTGCCATAACTTTTGAATCACGAGAGATAGAAACTTCTTATTTAGTATGCATACTCCACTAATTAGGATCTTTCAAATGACACCAAAGTCAATGACCTTGTGACCTTGACCGTGACTTATATGCTAAAAATAGCGTTTTCCAACCCTTGCCTTAACTTTTGAACCATAGGAGATAGAGAATTCTTATTTGGTATGCATTCTCCACTAATTCATTTCTTTCAAATGGGACTATAACCTATATGCTAAAAATAGCCAATAGTGTTTCACAAGCACATCTTTTTTTCTTTATAATAATATATTAAACCATAAAGTGCAAATCAAATGAAACAAAAAAAACTTAAACAAAAAATGAAATTAACTCACAATTCTTTAACATTACTATCATCAATTTCAAGACTTGGTATTCGCTTTCCACCTTGATAGCACTTTTTATGACTAAAGTCAAACTTGCAGCAAACATGTGAATCTGGGCCACAGGAATAAGAAATGGCATAGGAGAGGAAGGGCAACACATGGGTCATTATACCTGTAGAAGAGTCCCTGTCTGTACAAAATAATGTAGTAGCTGATTAAATAAGTTACCATCACAACTTTCTAACAAACTACACATAAATGAAATACTACCAAAGTTTAAAAATTTATAGTACATATTTATCTTAAACAGTACAAACTACATGAAAATAAAATGCTACTCAAGTTTCAAATTTATGGAACATATCTAATCTAAACTGTACAAACTACATGAAAATGCAATGCTTCTAATGTTTCAAATTTATAGCACATATCTATATTAAATAGTAAGTTGTCGCTTAAGGCCAGAAAACTATGAAGGAATCCTGATTTATATGAAGAAAAAAAAACTTTACCCCACATCTGTGTCCACTGGAACTCTAACATCTGATTTTTGGCCAAAAATCTCTTGATTCCAAAATGAATTCTTTGAATCACCATTGCTTTGATTCCACTTCTTCTCTGTAAATAAGCCATGGTTGGAGAATGTCCAAAAGGGTCAACAGACCAGCTGATATTTGGTACAGTTCCTAACAAAGATAATAAATATGCAATCTTGTAAAAAAAAAAAAAAAAACAATTTTAAGTGCAGCACTGACCCTTGAAGGCTTCATGCTAGTCTTACAGATGTCCAGTCAAACTTCAGTACATTTATATCTATTGCCATACATTTTACGATGGAATTCAAATCTCCTTTGATTAATTTACAATGTACATCCTCAGTGTACTACTGCATGTGTCAAATATTTTAGACCATTTTCAAAAAGTCTGAAATAGGATATCCATTACCATGTTCTATGATGAATTTATATATTACACTGAAAATTAACAAATACAACTTCTTTGAACAATTATTTTATTATGTTAACTTCTTTTCCTATTCACAATTCATATCACTATTAATTATCCTTGTCTATGATTTCTACACTAGTTCCCTTGGCCATGACAGTACAGTTGGAGGTCTTACCAATGTTAGTTAGCAGCCACTGATGGCCATCAATCAGCTGATTTAACATGGCGCTGTAATGGACCACCGCCTCATCTGGCATGACCCAACCACCAGAGAGGATTTCAAACTGACCATTCGTAATCAGCCTGTGGGACAAAAGGAAACCATCATTGTTTCATATCTTATTTGTCAACATCCAATGGCTCAATTTTTTCAAATGCTACCTATAAAAAATAAAACTGTCTATAGAACTCAAATACATGTATAATAAATAATAAACCTTTTCATGTCATTTTTCTGCTTTTGAGAGGCATTTTCCCACCATCTTTCCAACCAGCACACTTCTGACCAAACAAATCTCCACGCACTGTTTCTTGTGAGCTGATCTGTTATTAAGCTAAGGGTCCTGTTGGCATAGGAGGCAAAATACTCCTCAAAGGTGTACAGCCAGCCTAAAATATTAACCAAGCATAAAACTACAAATTGCATACAATTTTGAATATATATTTTATGTGTATAGTATGAAAAAAAACTAATCAAAATTGATTTTTTAAACTTGTGAAATATAAATGTTAAAGCATCTCAATTCAGACAATATGGGCTACGATGAAGTTTTTCGAAAGCAGTTCAAACTCCAAGGTCAAGAGATCAAAGGAATAAATGTGATATACATGTCCAAAAGTAGGTCAAACTTAAAGATCATCTTAATGTCTAGATCTAAATAAAGGTCTTGTCACAAGTAAAACACATAGGAAGTATGAAAGCCATAGCAACAACCACTTAAAAGTTATGGCCAGGGTTAAAGTTTCTGCAGACAGACAAGCCAAAAATCATATGCTCCCAGATCTTCCAATTTGAGTGCATAAAATATATATTTTTTCTTAATTTTACAAAATAATGAAATTCTTCACATGTACATTTGATACACTGAGCATCTTATAGGAAGTAAATGCATCCAGATTTCATGATTTACCTAGATCCTGGATTCCTGGTGGGAGTGGGACACAATGAGGACTTTAAGAGGTTTTCCATACGTACCTGGATCCTGGTGGGAGTGGGGCAAAGTGATAACTTTCAGATGATTTACCTAGATTCTGGCAGGAGTGGGGCACAATGAGAACTCTTTGAGGTTTTACCTGTCAGTGGATCCTGGTAGGTGTGGGGCTCAATGAGGAGTCTTACAGGTTTTACCATGATCTTGGTGGGAGTGGGGCACCGTGATAACTTTCAGATGATTTACCTGGCTGATGGTGAGTGTGGGACACAATGAGAACTCTTAGACGTTTTAACTGGATCCGGGTAGGTGTGGGGCACAATGAGGACTCTAAGAAGTTTTAACTGGATATGGTGGGGCAGTAATGATTTTAAATGGATTTACCTGGATCCTGGTGGGAGTGGGGCACAATGATGACTTTCAAAGGTTTGGTCGTCCACATATGTACACGAATAACATCAAGCCAACCACTGACAGACAAAGCCAAGGGGTAAGATACATCCAATGTGTGCCATAATGCCTCCATCTGTTGTGTAATTAAGAAATCTTTTATTCATTTTTCCATATTATACTGTTGCACATCATGTTCTTGTTCAGCGATGTATAAACACAAAGTCAATTTTTTAAAACAGAATTTTAACATCATAATACAGAATCCAAGTGTTTTTGGCCATTGTAATAAAAGCTCCGATTTCACAATTATAAGTTTGGTAAGAAATGGTATTTGTGTTTTGAAATTCCAAAATAAAAAGTGTCAGTAATTCAAACAAAAATATTCATTAGGAGCATTCAAATATATTCAATTATCATATGATTGAGTAATTCCTATCTTTCTGATTGGCTGAGATTCGACAATGTTAGAAAAATATATTACATTGTATATTGACCTGCACATGACTTTCCAGGTCAATATAATGAATTATTTATTCTACATTGGACCAAAAATAGATAATCATATAATAAAACAGTTATTGCTGTTTTTTTTAGGTCAACACAATAATTTAGACACCTTCAAAGTACAATATTCAACTTAGATACATATCTTGTAATAATAAAACATTCCCACCTCTACATCAGCAGTGTTTTGTGGTATACTGCATATTTCTGTAGTCCCTGAGTTTGAGGCTTGTAGAGGGAAGTCAGCTGTTTGTCTGGAATCAAATGACACTGTGGGTCCTTGGTAACAAGTGTCAGGTTTGGGTGAAATAAAATTATTCTGCAATGGAAAAATTTTAAATCATAAACAATGCGACTTAAACAATGATGATACTTAATATTATTTTCATGCATTGTAATGAGATTTGTCATTGGTTCATATGGCATCACGAGTCAAAGTGTATAAATGTGGATAGACCTGGACTTTCTAATTATAAACTTGAAAACTTTGGATAGACCCGGCCTTTCGTATCTCATTTGATCTGATTATCCACACCTGTCAACTCGATGTGATACGACCCTTCAGATCAAGTTAATGTTATAATAAGTAAATATATATACAGTGTATACCACATGATCCTGGTCTTCAGTGAGAAAATCAACATTCCCTTGCTGTGAATGCAGCTGCATTTGCATTAAAAACATAAAAAGAGTGTACACACAAGTCAAAACTGCTAGAATTTTGAGAGTTTTCCTTCTCCAAAATCCCTCCATTCTTCATGGTCTCACTAAAAGGAAATATAGATCAGATCAGTCAGAATCTACTAGTGTATAGGAAGCACCCAAGAAGGCACTATGCAATGATTATTTTGATATTACAATGTCTATAATGTGAAATCATCATATCATATCATCAATGTCAATATTGCAGTTATACATTTGTAGCTTGAGAGGCTAAAGGGAAGGTATTTTCCTGACATTTCAATTTCATTTTGAATTGTGAGAAGTCATTAACTTTTTTTTTTTTACTTTGGACCTCCACTGCTATTTCTGTTATTTCTTAGCTAGAATGAATCTGGCCAATTCATACTCAGTCAACATGAGAGGTCCTAAGACAACATGTGACCCCTGACTAACTACATTTGATATTTTACAGGCTGACTGCAGTGACACCTTCTGGGAAAACAAATTTCAATTGTTTTTCTTTTCCTTCAACCAATCACATTTAATAACCTTTCAGGAAAAACAACTTGTAACAACGCATTTTAGATGTCAATGATTCCTTTCTGTTTACATCATCTATCTACTCGAGAGAGCTTCAATTTGATTGGTGCTTCTCAATGAGAGAAGCAAACTAGAAACTAGAACTGTCCAAAAGGGACAAAATACCCCCTGCTGGGTTTTTCAGAGGTGCCAAATCATGAATATTTCATGGATCTAAGATAAGTGAGAAATGCCAAAACATTTAAAGTGCAAATGTAATAGCGCATTATATTTTTTTTGAAAGAAACGAAGGTGCAGCCTAATAAAAAAAAATTAAGACTAAAGATACAGACCAGACATGAATTATGAACTTTTTCTGCCTTTGAACTTGCATTAATGACCTTGGTTCAAAGACATGACACAACCTCAGGTCATACGCAATCTTTGTGTAAAATGGTAACTCACCACGTTTATCCATAAGACAGATACGGACCAGACATGAATTATGAATTTTTTTCTTTAAGTGACCTTGGGTAAAAGTCATGACACACCCTCAAGACATAAGCAATCTTTGTGTAAAACAGGAACTTACCAAGTTTATCCATAAGAAAAATTATGGACCAGACATTATGAAATTTTTCTTTCAGTGATCTTGAAGTATGAACTTGACTCAAGGTCATAACACACCCTCAGGTCATAAGCCATCTTTGTATTAAGTAGTGGATTCAAGTTTTTCCATAATAAAGATATGTACCAAACATGAATTATGAAATGTTTCTTTAAGTGACCTTGAACTTGCACAGATGACCTTGGGTCAAGGTCATGACACACCCTTACATGTCGGTCATGAGATTTCTTTGTGTGAAATAGGAACTTACCAAGTTTATCCATAGAAAGTTATGGACCGGACATGAATTAAGAAATTTTTTTTTCCAGTGACCATATCATTCAGAAGTTATAGCCAAAGTTGATTATTTTAAAAATTAGGTCAATCGTGAAGGTCAAGGGGTAGTCATAATATGCTCGGAAATATCTTGACGCAGGTAATGCATTTGTTGAATAAGAAGGTCCTGTGTTTTCTCAATCAAAAGTTATAAGGAAAAATTCACATTTTTGAAAAGTAGGTAAAACATCAAGGTCAAGGTCATGGGGGTAAAAAATCAAAGTATATTCAGAAAGGTCTCATCACAGGCAATAAGCAGATTTAATATGAAACCCATATCTCTTCTCATTTAAAAGTTATGACCAAGGTTAAAGTTTTTGAAAAGAAGAACTATAACTTCAAGGTAAAGGTCACAATGTAAAAATCAGAGTGTATATAGAAAGGTCTTGTCACAGATAATGCACATGTGTAATATGTAATATGAAAGTCTTATCTCTTCTTATTCAAAAGTTATGGTCAATTTTAAGTAATATTTATTTTTTAAAGAATTTAAACTTCAAGGTCAAGGTCATGGGGTAAAAAAAAATCAGTGTTTTAATACAATGTAAAGGTCTTGTCACAGGCAATACACAGTTTTAATATGAAAGCCATATCTCTTCTCATTCAAAATTTATTACCAAGGTTAAAGGTTTTGAAAAATAGGTCAAAGTTCAAGGTCAAGGTCATGAGGTAAAAAATCATAGTGTATTTAGAAAGTTCTTGTCACACTGGTAATTTATGTGTATGAAATAAAAGCCTTAACTCTTCTCATTTAAAAAATATTTGATCAAGGTTAAAGTTTTTGTGATGGACGGACAGACTGACAGATGGACAGCCGGGCACAATTTAAAAAAGTAATAATCATGGGAAAATAACAGCAACCTGTCATTTCCACATCATGGCATGAAGAAGCCTTGGCATCAATTTGGGAAACAAATAACCTTTTTTCCAGAATGTTGGTGCAATTAACTTCTGATGAACAGATAAAAACTCTTGAAAACTCAAAATATAACCAAATATTTTTTTAAACATGCAATGTTTGATTTTCATTAAGCCAGGCTCAAACTTTGGTTCGGTAATGGATGAAAGTCATTCAACGGTTAGTAAATTTCTGACAAAGCAAAGTTGAAGATGTCCTTTTTGAAATTAAAAAAATACCTTATATGTAATTTTTTTCCTCTACGGTAGGATGTTGCATTTCTTTTTCTTGTTGGTATATAATTTCTGGAATCCACTCGTGTCACTAGAGTTGTGACTGAAAAATTCAGTCGATTTGATGAGTATCAGTGGTTAATAATTTTCGGATTTCCGGAATCCAATTATCCTCAGGACACTAGAGTTGTAACTGAATCGAAAATATTTCAAATTAGCTCAAATCATGCATGAGTCATTGAGTGTAACTTTAAGTTTTTAAGCAAGTGAAGACGTGCAATCGTGTTGACATGATATAAAGATTAAAAATGTTTTATCAAAAGAAATGATTTAAAGTTTATTCAGGAATTTAAAAAGGGTCTAATTGAATGGAATTCTCATCACAAAACTTCTGGAAAGACTTACATCCAAAACAATTCAAGCTTGAGGGAAAAAAGGTCGCTGGTCACTCACTCAATCATCAATGTGTACATCATTTATTATCGGGATCGGAATACAACTTGTGAAAGTGGAAAACAAAGATGGCGCTTTCGCAATAAAATAAAACAGTGATAGAGGAAAAGATTCCAGAAATAAACGAATTTGTGAAACGATTTAAAAATAAATCATGTCTTACTGGTTCCACAGAAACCCGCTAAAGGCTACATCTACTCTAACTTTTGAGTTAGCAGGCGTGTCAACGGACGACAAAACGAGACAAATATTCGCGTAAGACAGTGGAATATTTACTATGATCAGATGATAATGAATATGAGTCATTCATAAAGAGTAGTTCTAATTGTTTAATAGAAAGCACTTTTTATTTTTAGTAAACAAATTAAACTTTAATTAATATCTGGTGATATTTATCTGATTTTACCTGATTAACAAACTTGTTTTGCAGAGTTTAAGTAGATCTGTTAAACCACTGGTGCCAGTGTCTTGATTTATAAATATGTACACCTATATCAATAGGTTTACTAATGTATAAGCCAGTACTCAAGCACCTGTGAATTGAATACTGTAGATGTACTATTTTCCACAGTGTAAAAATTCTGCAAAATCTCTATTTCTGTTTAATCCGTGGGTGGAAAATAATGCTGGTTTTATGACTCTCACTATATGGCTTACATTTATATTATGTATATATGATGGGAAAATGTATGACTGCGAACATAGCGTAAATTAATACAATGCGGAAAAAAGTACTTCTACAGTATATGTTATTAACAAATAGTTCAAAGAATTCATGATATTAATTATCATTATTTATTATAACAGTCAAATGCGTCAGACAAGGGGCAAACTGCTTGAACTGTTAACAGATCCAAACCACGAAACTGTGACTGTGGAGAAGGCTGTCAATGATTACTTCTCTCTGCTTCTGGGCTTGATACAGCCATTTGAGGAAAATGAATCTGAAAATAAACTGAGGAGAGCCATAAAATATAGATGGACAAACAGCCTACTAGGAAATGCTGTCAAGTATTAGTTATTTTGGTATACTCATGTTGAACATGTAATTGCAACATATCCACTCCTTACCATTTAGAAACAGGGATATTTCAATCAAACTTTACACCAGCTTTACAACATACTTGTCTTCTATACATTATTAAATTGACAAAGAAGAGAAAATATTGTGTGATTGATATTAAGGTTACTATTGCTTTTTTATTTATAGAGAGCAGCAAGATTCTGTTTTTGAAGCTGCAAGTATGGCAATTAACGTGGCATTATGGTACACTAAACATGCTGCAAAGTTAGCTGCCAAAGAAGAGTAAGTATCATTAACATATTTTATGATGAAAACTACAATTTCTGAATGTTATACATATACAAATTATACACATTCACACAAACTTGTTATTCAAATTTAAGGCCAGATATGGAAGAAGCAAAGGAGGTACACAAATGTCTGAAGATTGCTGCAGGGATATTTACCTATGTAAAGGTACAGTATAATTTGTCCAAAAATGCAGGAAAATATTAATTTAGAAAATTTTGTTGTTTATTTACAAGTCCATCATATACATAATATAAAATATGATTAAATGATGAAATCATTCAATATTTTGGAGTCTAGAAATTATAAAATAGTCTCACATGACCTACTGTATTTTCTTGTTTGTTCAGGAAGTTTGAAAGTCGGATGAAATGTTAACTAAGTCAAAATCTACAGGCACGCATAATATAGGTCTACTTTATATCAAGCGGACCGGGTTTCGCTTGTCAAGGAGCTCATTCAATGAATAAACAGTAATACACAATTATTTACGATGTGCTAATTATTGGATCAAACTTTTAATTTTTATGCAAAAAATTATGTCTTCCCCCAAAGTGTTATGGCGCAATTTTTGGAATGCGTTCGATTTTCGATCCCAATTGATATTTAGATTTGTAAAACGCGTACATATATGTTTTTTATGTTATAATGTGGTAAAAGGAGTTAAAACAAAGTTAATTTTTTTTAATTGTAATTTAAGCATATAATATTTTCTTCAAGTGGGCTGTGTCACCGCCGAGTTCGTCTCATGGCACTAATCATGCTAATGTATACACAGATTATCACATCCACCACGAAAGGTGTTAATTGCTTTGAAGTAACTCAGGTGTGGCCGGATTAGAGGGAATGATTACCGTTAATTATGAGCAGTTGGGACCAGTATGGCCGTTCGGAATACAGAATAGACAGTATCCGGACTACACAGAATTTTTTCTATTGAATTTGTTAAAGAAATGCATGGGACTAAAATTTATAGACGAAATGGGAAAAAATTCGGAGTACTCAGAGTCTGGATTAGACAAATTTTACTGTAATACATGTATCATAATGTTTTAACACATTCTGTTTCTTGAACTGAAAATTTCATGTCTATAGCAATGTGTTTATGGAACTGACTTTCTCCCACCCACACAGTATGTTTCATCACTCCTGTGCAGTGATTCTTATATTTTTTGTTCTTGAAATAGTTTCTTTTAGCAATAACAAGAACTTGTGAAAATTTTGTCCTGCTTATAAGTACCAAAAGTAAGATCTCGCGAATATTTATAAGAAAATTGTGAACACCTCTTCATAGATCCATGAAATATATGTGAATTGGCACTTTCTCTGAAAAACCAAGCGGGAGGAGTGTTGCGAATTGTCGCAATTTTAATGTATTTTCTAGAAATTGAATGATGTACAGGTATAATCTAGAATGTTCTATATGTTTCGTGAATTAATTATCAAGAAGTCTCTAGAATATTTAAGAATGTGATGATCTAGAATTTTTTCGAAGTTTCTATTTCTAGATGTTTCTTCGATACTATATATATGAGAGTTTTTGTGATCTTGATTATTATCGATTTTATATTGTGTTTACACTGAAGAAATATTGAATACATATCAGAAACCATCTGATTACCTTAGCCAATGTGGTATTGTGAATGTTAACTCTTGTGGATTTGTTTTGCCTTTAATCGTCGTAATAAATTATAAAAAGAAGTTTTCCGTGTGATTGTGATTTGCCACATTGTTTGGTGCCGGAACCCGGGAATTGGAGCCTGAAATCAAGAAGTTATCACGGAAAAGAAGAAGATGTCAACCTCATACTTGAAAGGACTTTGTACAAGGTACAAGAATCTACTGCTGAAGGAAATGGTTAAAAGTAAGACATTTCTTTCTTCAGAAGCCGAAGAAGAGGATTTGACAACCAAGTTAAGGCAGATTCAATCTTCCTTGAGACGGTTAAAGGACTTTGGTGCTAAATTAGAAGAATCGATGAAAGAACTTTCCATTGCCTTGGAAGCAAAACAAGACAATGAATGTGAAATTGAAAAATTTACTGAAGACAGTGAGAAGTTGTTTGAATTGCTCACAGATGTTACAGAGCGCTCAGAAGAACTTCTACTATTGGAAAAAAGATTGGAGCAAGCGGACATACCATATATGAAAACTGAAGCACCAAATGACCCACGAATCGACCACATGATAGATCTGCAGACAAAAATGCAGGAACAACTGATGCATTTCCAAGAACTTCAAATTCAGGAACTGTATAGAAAAGAGAAGATATGCAAAGAGAAAGAAACTCCAGTAGTTAAACTACCAAAGTTTGAGCTCCCTTCATTCAACGGAGACAAATTAAAGTGGAAAGAGTTCTGGGACTCCTTTGAAGCTTCAGTACACAAAAACACAAGGCTTTCCAATGTTGAGAAGTTCAACTACTTGAAAAGTAAAATGGAAGGAAAGGCACAATCTGCTATTTCCGGCCTCATGCTCTCCCATGAAAATTATGATGTAGCTCTCTCCATATTGAAGGAACGATTCGGAGATGTGCAGTCTGTGATTAACAAACATTACATGGACCTTATAAACATTAAACCTGCACTCAACAATACTTTCAGTCTCCGTAAACTATTTGATGATTTAGAAAAGCATATGCGCAGCCTAGAAGCATTGGAACAGGATGTAAACCAGGATGTCTTTGTTTCCATGATTATAACAAAGTTACCAAAAGAAGCCAGATTACAATTAGAAATACAAAAAGGAAAGAAAGAAAAGTGGACTGTGCAAAAGCTGAGAATGTTTCTTGATAACTACATAGCAGCCAGAGAGTCTACAGATATGGAAAACCTAACCGGTCATGAAGAACAATCTGCTAGAAAATCTTCATCACCTGAATTTTCATATATAAATGAAAGGCCATATACAACTGCAGAAGCCCTAACAACACTATTTCAAGGATCACAGAGAAGAAACAAATATGGAAGAAAACATCCTGTTTGTATTTTCTGTGAACAAAATCATTGGAGTGATGAATGCACAGAATTCAGGACAATCGAAGAGAGAAAAGGAAAGATCAGAGGAAGATGTTACATTTGTCTTAGGTCAGGTCATCTTAGCAAAAACTGCAAAGTTGACAAACCATGCGTTCACTGCCATCAGACAAAGAAACATCATCGAAGTCTCTGCAATAAGAAGATCCCGCTTTCGATTGAATCCTCACATTTTCCTCAAACATCAGAAATATATGACACAGAAATAGTTAACAATGTTCCAGAAAACAGTCTACTCTCCTCAAGTAGTATGGTGCTAATGCAGACTGCAAGAACTGATGCATCTGATTTGAAAGGTAGGAGAATTGAATCTGTTAGAATTCTGATGGACTCTGGGTCTCAGAGGACGTATGTTACCGAAGAATTGGTTACGAGATTAAATTTGCAGAGGAAACAAACAGAAGAAATATTACTTAACACATTTGGAGTAAAGAAGCCCAAGACAATGAAAGCACCGAAAGTCTCTTTAAGAATTAAACTAAAGGATGGACACTTCATGAGAATTGATGCGAATGTTGTGCCTCAAATAACTGGATCCATACAAAGAGGACCGTTACCATCTTACATCTCTGAAAAAGTACAACACCAATATAAACATTTTCAATTTGCTGATACCCTACCAAAAATTCCAGAGAATTCAAATGTCGACATCCTTATTGGAAATGACCATTGCCTCGATTTGATATTATCAGAAAAAATTGAAGTTAACCAAGGATTATACTTACTTTCATCAAAGGTAGGATGGATTCTCACTGGAAGAATACAGGGAAATTCTGAGGCATCCAAAGATAAGTTACATAAGTTACCGATTGTTAACAAAAACAACTGTAGTACAGAATACTGTCTTCATTCGTCAATTGATAAATGTCTGCTCCTGAAATTTTCGTCAAAAGATCTGATAATTGGAATGAAGACCATTCTCAATCGATGGATGATGAAAAGGCCTTGAAAAACTTTCAAATTACAGAAAATAGCAGATATCGAGTTACTTGGCCATGGAGAGAAAAAAACATCCTATAAATTTGAAGGGAAACAATTTCAAGACACTAGATGTTGTTCTCAAAGAAGATATCCTAGGAAAAATTGGGTGTTCAGAAGAATTTCCGATTTGTAAATGAGTCGAAATGGACAATTTAGATCGGGAAAAAGTGTGGACTGATGAATCAGAAGTGACAAAAGAACTAAATTCATGATTGACTTTCTTTGGTCTTCCACGGGGTTTGTTGCGAAATGTCGCAATTTTAATGTATTTTCTAGAAATTGAATGATGTACAGGTATAATCTAGAATGTTCTATATGTTTCGTGAATTAATTATCAAGAAGTCTCTAGAATATTTAAGAATGTGATGATCTAGAATTTTTTCGAAGTTTCTATTTCTAGATGTTTCTTCGATACTATATATATAACTCATTCTTCAGTACTGAGTTCAGATGTGTGACCAAAGGGTTATTTTTTTAAAATAATCAATTTCATAATTTATGTATATTAATTAAGTCAGTACCCTTCCTGCTTCTGAAAAAAATTCAAGGGAAGATAATCTGAAGTCTTAAAGAGGAGATAGGTGTCCAAATGTACAAGCATGTCTGAAATTTTATGTACGTAACTTGGTGTCCACAGTGACTGTTTTTTAGAACAATAAGCTATTCTTTTCTGGTGAATCCTTTTTGAAGTTTATAAACACTAGTTTGCATGTTTTATTGCATGACTTATTTCTGCCTTATTCCATTACAATTAGAAAATATATCCAAGACTACCAATGGACACCGTTACTTACATAAGCACTAAACAAGTAACATGTTACTAGAATTTAACAAGTTGTTAAAATATGAAAATAATGTAATCAATAAGGTATGATGAAATCATGTTTAATGTTATATTAAATGGAATTTATTTGAAAAGTCACAATTTTTATTTCTAGTTTCAAAAAAGGAGAAATTATGTAAGTAACATGGACACCTAACTCCGAATCAGGCTTTAAAAAGGAACAAAAAAATAACAAGACAATCGAACACTTGTCTTTAATACTTTTAATATTTCATTTCAAACCTTAATAATGACAAGCTTTCAAAGAGAATTAATGCAGACAAGTAAATTGTCAGATGAATAACTAAATATCCTAGGTCTTCTATTTTGAGTCTTGGATCTTTGTGTCATTGTTACGAACATAATTCAGTCATTTCTTGTAAATCTGAAAGAAAAAAATATATATAAAACAAAATACAACATTATGTAATCAACACATATGCTGTTTAATTATATTCATTATATATCTTTGATAAAATCAGAAAGAAGGCAATTAAAGTACAAATTATGTCACTACTTCAAGTTTTTGTGTCTCTGTTACGAACGTAATTGCGTAAATGATATGGCAATATTAAAACAAATATTCAATAAGTATTCATCCTTTGATAAGAGCAGAACAAAACTAACAAATATAGAATAAAATATAGTACAATATAACTTAATCATTAATGGATTATACAAATAATGCAAAAACACTTATGTTCGTAACAAAAGACGCGAATCAAAAGTCAAATGTTAAACCGAAAGTACTCGACTCGGACAGATTTATGCATTTTGTATGGTCATAAGAGACATATTTCAGTTTCTGATTAATAGCTACATGGTATAAAGATACAATGACTGTATTTATGTGTTAAACATTCACTAAAATTGATACAATATGAAAATACTTACCGAATCTATTATGTTCGTAACTTCTTTTTTTCCACATGGACACAATAAGCATCGCCATGTTTTTTAGCAGACAGCTGCGCAACCTTTCTACTTTCGTTTTTAATTTATAATTACACCACTGCTACGGACTTTTTGAGCCAAACTTATGATTCATTGGCTGTTATTTTAGCAATCATACTGAAAGCTATTATGTTCGTAACGGTCAAGACACCAAACATTTTAAAATCAGAGATCATTTTAAAATTACAAAAAGAACTGAGTTATGTTCATGAAGCATATTGTTAAAAATAATTTATCACACATACTCATTAATTTAACACAGAAACTGAACTTGACAAATTATTTAATGTTTGTAGAGAGGTGTTAAAAAGTTCAATGCATATGGACACCATGCGTTAGGAACATAAACCAAAAATGTTTAAGTTCAGAAAAAAATAATTAAGATAATTTTAGCATGTTTGACAAAATAAATATATTATTTCATTTATATGCTAAGATAATGTACACAAATATCATGCCAAATGATTTTATTTTTAAATAAAACAACATCTTTATGCCTATTCGAAAATTATGTCACATTTTCTGCATCTGAAATCCCCTAAATGCAATACAACAATGATCAATAATTTTTTTATTCCTCAACTCATATCCATAAAACTATTTATACTATATCCTTACACAAGTATCAAATCATATCAATATCAATCTATCTGCTTACACTTTATTTATTGGAAAATAAAGGAGAAAAGAAATACATTTTAAAAATTCACCAGTATTGAAGAATGAGTTATATGAGAGTTTTTGTGATCTTGATTATTATCGATTTTATATTGTGTTTACACTGAAGAAATATTGAATACATATCAGAAACCATCTGATTACCTTAGCCAATGTGGTATTGTGAATGTTAACTCTTGTGGATTTGTTTTGCCTTTAATCGTCGTAATAAATTATAAAAAGAAGTTTTCCGTGTGATTGTGATTTGCCACAAGGAGGAGAGGGGGGGGGGGGGGGGGGTATTTGTCCCTATTGGACAGTTCTAGTGAATTATGTTCTTTCCCGTATAAATGTGTTCTGATTCATTTCTATGTTTTGATATTTATTTGTAAACTACAAGTTATTGTATTTTCTTAACAGGATGATTTGATAGGACGCCTGTCAGACAATACAGAGAATGCGATCGACACAGACAGTCGTGTACTGGATGCCTACATTTATCATTGTACTGGGGAGGCCCAGGAGGGTAAATATTATTTAAATACAAAATTGATTCAAAATCTGTAAATATTCCCTTTGAATTTGACTTTTTATTTATGTTGAACCAAACATTGTCAAAATTTAGAATTGATAAGAAACTTTTATAACATTTTTGAATCGGAGATACATGTATGTAACAACCTTCTAGGTTATGAACTACTTTCTGAAATAGTTACAGATATCCTACTATTTCAGTGACATTGGCCAGAGCTGTTGAGATGAAACATTCTCCAAGTTTAATTGCTGCTCTGTCCTACGAGACTTCCCAGCTGTATCAAAAAGCAGGTTTGTTTCTTAACTACATGTAAATTTGTGTACAAATTAGGGCTGGGATGATACAACTTTTTCTTTATCGATACATATATATCACAATATTTGAGCCACGATACAATATGTATCACGATATGTTTAATTGGTTATAAAATCTTTTTTTGCATTGAAATAAACAAAATATTTCTTTGCAAATAAGAGTAATTTATTCAAAATAGTTGTTTATTGTAAAACAAAACTTTTTTACTCAAGTGGTGTTAATTATTATTTATTACATATCTATGTTTTTATATTAAACTTATTTATTAATGTCCTCACAGAGAATCAATATCTTGATATATCATCCCAGCCCTAGTACAAATGTATTTCATTGTGACTATTGTTAACTTGATGAAAATTAAAACAAAAGTGATTTTCAGGTTACCTGTGTACATTTCATTTTAGAATCTTTGTTTAGAAATGGCTCTATAGCCATTGATTGGGCCTTTTCTTTCTTTTCAAGTTTCATTCATGGAGATGAAAAGAAATGTTTTTGTCATGTACCTGGTACATATATATATTACTTTTTAAGGATACTAGATTGATGTAGATTTTGAACTTATTTTTAGATGATGCTTTGCAAAGTCTGGACATCAAAGTAGTTGGGAAATGGAGGAAGTACTTCCAGTTGAAGTGTGAATTTTACAAAGCTTATGTGAGTTAAACATCAGGCAAAGGCTGGGAGAGGTTTGATAGTTTTACCCCAAAACATGCCAAACCAAATAACTTAATGAGTGTTTTATCTGACCTTAACATTTATTTTTTCCTTGTCCTTGCAACACAGTATTAGAGAAACCCCCAGATTCTAAAAACAACCAAAAGTTCATATCCATATATTAAAAAAGTAGGACATCTACTTTGTCACTTCAGTGGAAGGAGTCTGGTAAAATCATTCATGTTTGAGTGAAGGATAGACCCCCCCCCCTTAATAGGATTACTTCAGTCTGCCATCTGTAAGGGGAGTGGTCCACAATGGCCACGGAATTTATCTGGTCCGACCCATTACATTACAACAGATCTATCCTTACCTAGGAATTAATTGTGTGTTCTGAAAAGCTCAAGACAAAGTTTCAAAAAATTAATTAGCTTTAAATTTGTAAATCATAAATGACCTTTTTGGAGATGAAATTAGCATATTTAAAAAAAAAACATTTTGTCCTTAAAGCCATACAATATGTATGGCATTGCATTATACTGGGACCAGTAAAGAGTACATGTGTACTGCATCTGACACTATTTCTACTTGTTAACAATAAAATTGTATTATAAAGAAAATAAGATGATATTTCCTACATGTATTTCTTTGTAATTCAGGCCTACTGCTATCAGGGGGAGACATTGTTGGCGCAGGACAAATGTGGAGAGGCTGTACGAGGGCTGCAGGAGGGGGTCAAGTGTAAGTAAAAGCAGGGTACGAGGGCTGCAGGAGGGGGTCAAGTGTAAGTAAAAGTAGGGTATGAGGGCTGCAGGAGGGGGTCAAGTGTAAGTAAAAGTAGGGTATGAGGGCTGCAGGAGGGGGTCAAGTGTAAGTAAAGGCAGAGTACGAGGGCTGCAGGAGGGGGTCAAGTGTAAGTAAAGGCAGGGTACGAGGGCTGCAGGAGGGGGTCAAGTGTAAGTAAAGGCGGGATTTCATTGGTTAATCCTAGGTTATCGGTACTCCCCAAAACAAAAATGGATAGAATTTGTGAAATTATAAAAGAATCCCAAAATAAAATAGTTTAACATTTGTGTTCAGAGCAAAAGCAACAGAATAAATTTTTATTTTTTAGGCTCTTCTACCTTGAGCTATACCTTTGAATGAAATTTAAAATACTAGTAAATCAAATTCAACTATGTTACATTATTTAGAATGTATCAGCCATTGATTAACTGGAGTTGTCTACCTTTAAAAGCTTATGATTCATTTTAAAAAAAATATTGAGAAATATTTTCTGATTAAATTTGGTTTTAGACAGTATTCTATAATTTAGAATGTTAATTAAACTGTGTTTGAATAGTTGAAATCAGATTTTCGTTTAGGAAACAATTCTACAACATTTTATTTGATTCAGAAAACTTTCAATTCTTAAATCAGGATATAATTCAATTCTTCTTTAGATTTCATGTGGTGTGAATCTATGTGGAAACCATAAATTTTCACTGCGTTTGGAAATATTTGGCTCCCTGTAAGGGATACTTAAGTGAGATATAATGTAAAGTCTAATGGGTGGTTAAAGAACCAAGAATGATTGAATAAGAAGAAAACAAAATAACAGCTATTCTGTCCATCATTTTAGCTTCATGTACAGATATACCTTACAAAGTACATTTCTTACTCTTAGTTGTAATTTTTTACGATAGAATCATTTATTCTTAATACAGATCATAGGACCATCAGATATTCTAAGCAACAACAAAAAATCAACATGCTTTCACGAGTTTATCGGGTAAATAGATGTAAAAGGATTAATCTTTTTTAAGGGGGGGGGGGGGAGTTAGAAAATGAAATATGAACTCTATGACTATATGTTCATATTAATATATTATAAACTTTAAGTAAAAAAAATCAGTTGTACATGTAGAGGTGTTCAGTAAGAAAAAAACAGCTGTACACATTTCTTAGAATGTCAGAAAAAGTAAACACAGGAGTTGTCTTTCTTTGTAAAATAAAATTTTTTAAAGAATTTATTATACTTCATTTTATTGCAAAAAATATATCAATTTTTTAATGCAATTAAGCATAATTTATGCAATTACTTTTAATACTTTTCAAAATATTTAATTTAATGAAAATATTTTGAAATTTTTTCCGTATACATATAGAAAACTATAATTAATCTTAGTTGTGTAAATTAGTTATAATAAAACTTGACAGTGAAATGGTTATGAAATTCCGAGATAAATTATTCCAAGATTAAATAATACCGTATCTTTGACTCCTCTGTATTGCACAGAGGTAACAGATTTAATAAATGGAAAAGAAATTCTACTCTGAGATGTTTACATATAGTTTTATAAACTCTGAAATGCAAGTATTCTGGGTATATAAGCAGATGAGACTAGCTGAATCTTTAGTCGAAGAGATCACTCTTAATCTGTCATAGCAAATCATTCAGTATTTGCTGTCAATAGTATTGATAGAAATAAACCTGTATCTGAATTTTTTCAGGTTATGAGAAATCTGAGGCTCTTTGCAAAGAATATGCTAGTACTAAAGGTCTGGGTACATTTGCAAGACCAGCCAACCATCTTTTCTTCAGAAAGTTAGGACCAGTTCTGAAAAGAACGCTGGAAAAGTGTGAAAGGGAGAATGGAATGATGTGAGTCAATTTTTACAAGTTTTTGTAGTGTTTAACTGTGAAATCACCTAGATCAGTTTGAAATGGTGGGTTATCTTCCCTTTATGTAAAAACTTGCACTTGCTCAATTTGCACAGCATAGATATTTTTCTGCATCTATCAGTATTTTACCAGACAACAATCAAAATGATATATTATTCTTTTTAATTTAACAAGATAGAGAAATTTTATCGATAACAAATACACATTTTAGATATAAAGGGATAAGATATTTTTGTTTAAAGATATCTGAATTTTATATATTTATTTTATTACGGCTATTAGATCCTAGTTGTAACCTTTTTGTAACCTTAAAAATTTATGGCTCCCTCTCACAGGGAAAAATATCTTTCTTCCATTATTGATCAGTGTGTGTAACATTGAAAAAAGAAGATAAATTTTGATAAGTGAAAGTACTTATGATTTATAAGTGATGTGTCAATTACTCAATTTCATCAGTTTTCATACCATTACCAGCTACATCAGTCTGAGGTTTAAAGAGTTAATTATCTATAATGTATACTATAAAATATAGAATTATGCTTTGCATATATTTATTTATTGAAATTTTAAGAAATCTGATTTTTTTTTTCATTATAAGATTATTACTAAGAAAATTGAAAAGCTTGTACATTACATTTTTTGGGGGAGGGGGTGGGGGGTGGGGTTGCTGCTTAATACTAACATCCTTTAAGGTTCATTTAGGCTTTTGTTTTTTTTAACTTGCACAAACTGTACATTTAAGTGATAGAATCACACTGTATGGTTATCATTTAATTTTTCAGCTACCACCAAAAAGTGGCATATGACCCTCCAGTTCTGGAGTTAAAGGCTACCTATGGACTGGCTGCCCCCGAGCCATTTACTCCCCCCGCCCTAAATCCTCTCTGGAGCAAGGAGGTGTATGAAAAAATGAATTCCAAAATGGCACCAAAGCCTGAAAATGTAAGTATAATAGTGTTAAAGTTAGGATAATTTTACCATCAACAAGAAAGATTCATTGAATGTTTTGGGATTTAAACAGGTCCAATTAGCCAAAGACTCAGTTTCAAATCAATAAAAAAAATATTTTGAAATCATGAAAAGGATTGAGTCAACTTACTTGAAATTGAATGAAGAATGTTTGAATTATTTTGATATGAAAATATCTATTTCTAAGACATGTACATATTTATATATATAAAATACTTTGAAGTTTTCTACAGCTTTAACATAAAAACTATATCCATTATATTTTGTTTTATGCAGAAGGCATTATTTGCTTTGATTCGTTTTAATATTAGGACAAAGACAAGAAAGATAAGCCAACAGAACTGCCGCCAGTGAAGGAGAAAGAGACTCCAATGTCCGAGAAAGACCCAGGCACATTCAGTGGATGTGTGATGTCATAATGGATATGTGATGTCATAATGGAAACACTTGTCAAAACAGGACTGAAAACCAGACATTCAGTATCAGCAATGTTAGCAATGTAACACATGTTTTATGTGTGAAGATAACAGAAACACAATCTTATCACCAATAAATTTTTTTTCTTTCCATAAATAATTGGACTTTGAATGATGTACAAGAGCATGAAGAACACACAGACTTCATTAGAAATTTTTTTGTTGTGATATAAAAAAAAAATATGTACAAGGCATTGATAAGGATTTGTCTTTTCAAATTGTAGAGCATCATAATTAAAAAGGCCAAGATAAACCTTTTCAAAGTTTATACATGTACTACATAGTGTAGTGATTTTTTTTTGTCAGGAGTGCAGTCTTTCATTTATTGTGTGATGTATTGTAGTCACCTTGTTATGGCTCATGGTTATAATATTCATGTAGTTAAATGTAAGTATATTGTACATACATGTATATGTATTTTTAGCCACCATACCTTCTTGTAATGATCACAGTTTACCCATTTCCTGGACATGTACATTGTATTCTACCTAATTGTTATTGTCATGTGGAGGCATTTGTTTTCTCTTCACAGCATACTGTACAATATTTAAGTATTTCATGAATTGTTATTAATATAATATTGTCTGCCATAGCATAAATTATATTATTTGGAATTCACATGAATGTACATATTGGTATGTACTCAGAAACAAAGATTTTTTTTTTATTTAGCATCCTTTTGAATTTAACATGCAAATCTTGTTTGTTGCTTTCAGTTAATAATTTTAAGCATTTTTTGTTATCAAAATACAATGCAATTACTAGATAAAATTACTAATACAATGTATACATAAAATTTTCCAGTATACATTCATTGTATTATGTATATGTTTGTTGAAATAAATTGCAGATTAGATGTCTATATATGTATGTTTGTCTGTTTATTACTTTACCATTTCACTCCCTGGACTAATATAGAAGACATTTTCCGAAGATGGAGAAATAAAGATGAGGATGCTTTTGGAGGAATCTCTCTATATCTAGGATATTCTAGATATTACAACAAAACATGTAATATACATGTATGAAGAATAGTCAATGTTTTGTCATAGGATATGGAATTTATTCAATGAATGGAACAAGATTTTATTTTTTTAAGAAGTCCTGTATATTACTTAATTTTCATGACACCTTATTTTTGCAAGATTATCATCTGGTAATGTATTACAAGACAAAATTATTATAAATTTTGGCTATTGCTGTATAGAAACTTTAGCAATATATGTACTTATATTTAAGCAAGAATCACATTTTTGCCAGCAGGCAGTATTTAATTTTTGCAAGAAAATTAGGTTTTCTCAAATAAAAAGTGATTTTTTTTACATATTTGGTGTCGTGCCATTTCTATTTACATTTTTATTCCAACTTTTATTGCAAAACATCAGCCATATGTACATGAAGTTGCATTTTCAGATATATCTTGGAATTTACGATGTAATAAAAACTTGGAACAACTTATGACATGGTATCGAATATATATAGATCCTGTTTCATTAGTAAAATAAATTTCATTTTTATTTTAAGCAAACTCTTTATATTTATTACAATTATCTCTTTGCCCTATTTCCAATGATATCCTTGTAATTTGATATCCAGAGTCATTTCAAAAAACCCTGAAAATAAAGTAAGTCACCATGACCTACTTTTTAGCTCACCTGAGCCGAAGGCTCAAGTGAGCTTTTCTGATCACAATTTGTCCGTCGTCCGTCCGTCTAGCTGTCTGTCTGTCCGTCCGTCCGTCTGTAAACTTTTCACATTTTCGACTTCTTCTCAAGAACCAATAGGCCAATTTTTACCAAACTTGGTACAAAGCATCCTTGGGTGAAGGGGAGTTCAAATTGTTAAAACGAAGGGCCAAGTCCCCTTACAAGGGGAGATAATCAAAAAAAAACAAAAATAGGGTGGGGTCACTAAAAAATCTTCTTCTCAAGAACCACTGAGCCAGGAAAGCTGAAACTTATGTGGAAGCTTCCTTGGGTAGTGTAGATATTAAATTGTTAAAATCATGACCCCCGGGGGTAGGGCGGGGCCACAATAGGGTATCCAAGTTTTACATAGAAATATATAGAACAAATCTTTAAAAATCTTCTTCTCAAGAACCACTGGGCCAAGAAAGCTTAAACTTATGTGGGAGCATCCTTGGGTAGCGTAGATATTAAATTGTTAAAATCATGACCCCCGGGGGTAGGGCGGGGCCACAATAGGGAATCCAAGTTTTACATAGAAATATATAGAACAAATCTTTAAAAATCTTCTTCTCAAGAACTACTGGGCCAGGAAAGCTGAAACTTTTATGGAAGCATCCTTGGGTAATGTAGATATTAAATTGTTAATATCATGACCCCCGGGGGTAGGGCATGGCTACAATTGGGAATCCAAGTTTTGTATAGAAATATCTTCAACAAATCTTTAAAAATCTTCTTCTCAACAAGCACTGGTCCAGGAAAGCTGAAACTTATATGGAAGCATCCTGGGGTAGTGTAGATATTAAATTGTTAAAATCATGACCCCTGGGGGTAGGGCGGGGCCACAATAGGGAATCCAAGTTTTACATAGAAATATATAGAACAAATCTTTAAAAATCTTCTTCTCAAGAACCACTGGGCCAGGAAAGCTGAAACTTATGTGGAAGCATCCTTGGGTAATGTAGATATTAAATTGTTAAAATCATGAACCCTGGGGGTAGGGCGGGGCCACAATAGGGAATCCAAGTTTTACATAGAAATATATAGAACAAATCTTTAAAAATCTTCTCCTTAGAAACCACTGGGCCAGGGAAGCTGTAACTTATGTGGAAGCTTCCTTGGGAAGTGTGATATTAAATTGTTAAAATCATGACCCCCGGGGGTAGGGCGGGGCCACAATAGGGAATCCAAGTTTTACATAGAAATATATAGAACAAATCTTTAAAAATCTTCTTCTCAAGAACCACTGGGCCAGGAAAGCTGAAACTTATGTGGAAGCTTCCTTGGGAAGTGTAGATATTAAATTGTTAAAATCATGACCCCCGGGGGTAGGGCGGGGCCACAATAGGGAATCCAAGTTTTACATAGAAATATATAGAACAAATCTTTAAAAATCTTCTTCTCAAGAACCACTGGGCCAGGAAAGCTGAAACTTATGTGGAAGCATCATGGGGTAGTGCAAATATTAAATTAGTAAAAAATCATGATCCCTGGGGGTAGGGCGGGCCACAATAGGGAATTCCAAGTTTTACATAGAAAAATATAGAACAAATCTTTAAAAATCTTCTTCTCAAGAACCACTGGGCCAGGAAAGCTGAAACTTATGTCCAAGCATCCTTGGGTAGTGTAGATATTAAATTGTTAAAATCATGACCCCTGGGGGTAGGGCGGGGCCACAATAGGGAATCCAAGTTTTACATAGAAATATATAGAACAAATCTTTAAAAATCTTCTCCTTAGAAACCACTGGGCCAGGGAAGCTGTAACTTATGTGGAAGCTTCCTTGGGAAGTGTAGATATTAAATTGTTAAAATCATGACCCCCGGGGGTAGGGCGGGGCCACAATAGGGAATCCAAGTTTTACATAGAAATATATAGAACAAATCTTTAAAAATCTTCTTCTCAAGAACCACTTGGCCAGGAAAGCTGAAACTTATGTGGAAGCTTCCTTGGGAAGTGTAGATATTAAATTGTTAAAATCATGACCCCCGGGGGTAGGGCGGGGCCACAATAGGGAATCCAAGTTTTACATAGAAATATATAGAACAAATCTTTAAAAATCTTCTTCTCAAGAACCACTGGGCCAGGAAAGCTGAAACTTATGTGGAAGCATCATGGGGTAGTGCAAATATTAAATTAGTAAAAAATCATGATCCCTGGGGGTAGGGCGGGCCACAACAGGGAATTCCAAGTTTTACATAGAAAAATATAGAACAAATCTTTAAAAATCTTCTTCTCAAGAACCACTGGGCCAGGAAAGCTGAAACTTATGTCCAAGCATCCTTGGGTAGTGTAGATATTAAATTGTTAAAATCATGACCCCTGGGGGTAGGGCGGGGCCACAATAGGGAATCCAAGTTTTACATAGAAATATATAGAACAAATCTTTAAAAATCTTCTCCTTAGAAACCACTGGGCCAGGGAAGCTGTAACTTATGTGGAAGCTTCCTTGGGAAGTGTAGATATTAAATTGTTAAAATCATGACCCCCGGGGGTAGGGCGGGGCCACAATAGGGAATCCAAGTTTTACATAGAAATATATAGAACAAATCTTTAAAAATCTTCTTCTCAAGAACCACTTGGCCAGGAAAGCTGAAACTTATGTGGAAGCTTCCTTGGGAAGTGTAGATATTAAATTGTTAAAATCATGACCCCCGGGGGTAGGGCGGGGCCACAATAGGGAATCCAAGTTTTACATAGAAATATATAGAACAAATCTTTAAAAATCTTCTTCTCAAGAACCACTGGGCCAGGAAAGCTGAAACTTATGTGGAAGCATCATGGGGTAGTGCAAATATTAAATTAGTAAAAAATCATGATCCCTGGGGGTAGGGCGGGCCACAATAGGGAATTCCAAGTTTTACATAGAAAAATATAGAACAAATCTTTAAAAATCTTCTTCTCAAGAACCATTGGGCCAGGAAAGCTGAAACTTATGTCCAAGCATCCTTGAGTAGTGTAGATTCTAAAGTTTTAAAATAAAAAAGGGAAGGGGGTAGTTGGGCATGATAGGTATAGCAAGAGGGGGAATCTGGTAAAGATCTGCATCACAAAAGTTACTCAGGTGAGCGATGTGGCCCATGGGCCTCTTGTTGAGTAACTTTCTGAGAACCAAAGGTGCTGGTGGCTTCTAATAAACTGAAATATTTAGATAGCTCAGAGTGATCTACCTTCAGTCATCACAATCTGTGGAAACCCTAATAACTTCACAAAGTTTGATGATTCTATTCCACTTAGTGTCCAAAATATTGAGACGCTCAATTTTAAATGTTGGTCATCAATGTCGACCGTTTGGGTGAAACCCCACAAGGACCCAATTTGTATCAAAAGTGATTTGATGATTTTAAGCTTCTTATTTTTTGAAATATTGTGATAAGATGATGAAATTCCAAAAATAAGTCACTGTGATCTACTTTTTAGCTCACCTGAGCCGAAGGCTCAAGTGAGCTTTTCTGATCACATTTTGTCCGGCATCTGTCTGTCCGTCTGTCTGTCCTAGCTGTCTGTCTGTCCGTAAACTTTTCACATTTTCGACTTCTTCTCAAGAACCACTGGGCCAGTTTCGACCAAACTTGCCACAAAGCATCCTTGGGTGAAGGGGATTCATGTTTGTTCAAATAAAGGGCCATGCCCTTATTCAAGGGGAGATAATTGAGAATTAGTGAAAATTTGGTGGTATGTTTTAAAAATCTTCTTCTTAAGAACCACTGTGCCAGGAAAGTTGAAAGTTATGGGGAAACATCCTCAGGTAGTGTACTAAGTGTAGATTCAAGTTTGTTCAAATCATGTCCCCCGGGGGTAGGGCAGGGCCACAATGGCCGACCAAAGTTTTACATAGAAATGTATAGGAAAATTCTTTAAAAATCTTCTCAAGAACAGCAGAGCCATAATTGCTCATATTTATATGGAAGCATCCCCAGGTAGTGTAGATTCAAATTTGTTCAAATCTTGACCCCCGTGGGTAGGGCGGGGCCACAATGGCCGACCAAAGTTTTATATAGAAATATATAGGAAAATTCTTTAAAAATCTTCTTCTTAAGAACAGCAAAGCCAGAATTGCTCATATTTATATGGAAGCATCCCCAGGTAGTGTAGATTCAAGTTTGTTCAAATCATGACCCCCAGGGGTAGGGCAGGGCCACAATGGCTGACCAAAGTTTTATATAGAAATATAT